GTGATCATGTCTCCCCAAGCCCACACAAACCCACAAGCTCTCCTACACCACCTCCACCCACACAAAAGTCTTTATACAGTCTTAAATCGTAACCTATTTTATGTAAATACTTATTGATAACCAGTGGGTATAACCAACTTATCTTATTATTTTTATTTATTTATCAAGTACGTTCACCAGTTCATCTCTGATTTAGGCGTCTTGTATTAAGCAATAGTTTTTCTAACTGGGAGTAATTACTACAGGCAAACCTAGATTAAAGGAGTGTGATATTATTTTTTGATACGACTCCATCGCCTGGAAGGGAGAATAATATAAACTCAGTTCGATCTTGTATCATCACACACGTTCTTCATATGATCTTACATACTCTTTCACAATCTTTACGCTATTATTGTTCTCTACAAGTTCAAATCATTTTCTTTTCATGTTTAGTTCAGACTCTTTTTAAGTATCTCAGTTTTGTTGTTGTTTCTTCCTTCAGTAACTAATTCATGTGTTACGTCTTATCAAGTGCATTACTCTTTGTCAACAAATTAATTTTTTCGCTAATTTAAATTATATATTTTAGTTGGTTACGAAGAATTTTATTTATCCATTCACCCAAATTTAATTGTGAAACTGTATCATTGTATTTTCTGTCTATCATCTCCTTTTTTCATACCATCAATGTTTTTAAACAAATGTTTGCTCGTTGACCAGACCACACACTAGAAGGTGAAGGGACGACGACGTTTCGGTCCGTCGTGGATCATTCACAAGGCGATTGTCGACTTGAGAATGGTCCAGGACGGACCGAAATGTCGTCGTCCCTTCACCTTCTAGTGTGTGGTCTGGTCAACATACTTTAGCCACGTTATTGTGACTCACACCTGCAAATGTTTGCTCTATTCAGTTACATATTTACTCGTTTCGTTTGTTTACTCGACCATCGTTTCTTTGTTTCTTAACTAACACATCACTCCTCACCACTGAAAATAGTTAAGGCAGCTACTTCCTTACAATTTAAGCCTTACTTTAAACAGTTAGATCTCATCGACGCAACTTCTGTTTTCAAAACTTAGCTCGCACCAGATTGACTTTGTTTTTGCATTGTATTTTTTTGCAGAGACATAGTTTTTCTTTTCATTTTAGTTTCAGCCCATCATAGTTTTTAGAAAAATATTTTTATTTTGTCAAGTGCTTGATGACACCATATACCTCCGGAGCTCTGCTTCCTCTCACTAGTCAGTCTTAATTTAGTTATTATGTCTACCATCTCTCTCCGCAATCATGCTCTGGTATACCAAGTTCTCAATTATTTTTTTATATTTCTCCCAGAAGTGGATGATATTTTGATTAACAAAATACGGCATCTAAGGTTACATTTTGCATTTTGTGTTTACTCTCCAATATGCAGTAATTAAAATGTCCCCAACCAGTCTTTTATTAAGTTGATCTTTTACCAAGACAGTCACTTCCATACGACTGAAGCATTACTTTAAACAGTTCCAATACATCAATACAACTTCTGTTTTGGGATTATAGCTCATACTAGGCTGATTTAACTTTTGCAGAGTGTTAAGTTTTACGAGGGTTCACAATGTATTAATTACGGTCATGGTTATGTTCTATGAAGATCATTGCTTTTTATTTTACTGATTTCATCGCGTCATACTTTTTCAGACTACTCATTATCTTTTTCAAATTAAGTTTACTTACTGCTTTCCTGAAGCACTTCACACTACATATAATAATTCACTTTCAAATTCTTTACAACTTCAGTTCAAACTCTTTTCAATATCGGGATTTTTTGTTGTTTCTTCCTTTCAGTATCTAGTTCATGGCCTCGAATTTTCAACGGCATTATTGTTTGTCAACAAATTAATTTTTAGTTAGTTCAAATTATTTATTTTGGTTAGTTATAAAGCATTATATTTATCATTCAGCCAAATTTAATTGTGAAACAATGTCAATGTATTTCTGCTGATCATCACTCTCAAACTCGTCAAAATATTATTCTCGCATTCAAAGTTATTTCTCAGAGTCATTGGGAATACACAAAAATTTCCATTTCCACCAACAAACCCCGTTCTCAAAGACATCAAAGATGATTTTAAAGATCAAGATGGTTCTTCCTGCATATTGTCTCACACGGCTAACATCTATATAGCCTTCAGAATCATGTATACCACATATGTAAGACTAATCCTAGAGTATGCGGCCCCAGCATGGGGCCTGCACATTGTCATGCACAGAACAAAGCTGGAAAAAGTTCAGAGGTAAATCACTAGTCTAGTCCAAGAACTAAGAGGTTAGAGTTACAAGGAAAGGCGGTGTGAAATGCACCCCACCTCGTTGGAAGACAGGAGAGATCGAGGAGACCTCATCATTACCTACAAAATTCTAAAAGGAATCGACAGGGGAGATAAAAGTCTCAAATTCTCTCTTTTAAATATTGCACATTTTTACTTTATAATCATCATGTCTCTCATAAGATAAATTTATCATGTTTGATGTAGTTGTTCTTCACCTGTGGAGGTGCTAAAGAATGCAATTAAACTATATAAAATCCAATAAATACACTAAGAACAGAAGGAGGACATGTTAATAAGTGTAGAATAAAATTTCTTACAATCGCTTACATCTCCAATATGCACAAAAATTTTCAAAGTGAAGACTTCGACATTGTCAAGTGACAATGAAATGTCAGAGACATTTCGTCTCTGCAAATGTTCTTCATCGTTTGTAATTGTTACATTGTATCATCATGATGCAATGTAGCTCGGCACGAGTTAAATGTAGCTCCCGGTCTGAGCTCGGCTCCAGCATGATCAATTATCATCATTCCTATTTATCATCATCCCAATTTATCATAACCACCATGACTATTACACTCCCAGCGTCACCACCATGACTATTACACTGCCAGCGTTACCACCATGACTATTACACTCCCAGCGTCACCACCATGACTATTACACTCCCAGCGTCACCACCATGACTATTACACTCCCAGCGTCACCACCATGACTATTACACTGCCAGCGTCACCACCATGACTATTACACTCCCAGCGTCACCACCATGACTATTACACTGCCAGCGTCACCACCATGACTATTACACTCCCAGCGTCACCACCATGACTATTACACTCCCAGCGTCACCACCATGACTATTACACTGCCAGCGTCACCACCATGACTGTTACACTGCCAGCGTCACCACCATGACTATTACACTCCCAGCGTCACCACCATGACTATTACACTCCCAGCGTCACCACCATGACTATTACACTCCCAGCGTCACCACCATGACTATTACACTACCAACATTACCATGACTATTACACTCCCAACATCGTCACCATGACTATTACACTCCCAACATCGTCACCATGACTATTACACTCCCAACATCATCACCATGACTATTATACTCCCAACATTATCACCATGACTATTACACTCCCAGCGTCACCACCATGACTATTACACTCCCAGCGTCACCATGACTATTACACTCCCAGCGTCACCACCATGACTATTACACTCCCAGCGTCACCACCATGACTATTACACTCCCAGCGTCACCATGACTATTACACTCCCAGCGTCACCACCATGACTATTACACTCCCAGCGTCACCACCATGACTATTACACTCCCAGCGTCACCACCATGACTATTACACTCCCAGCGTCACCACCATGACTATTACACTCCCAGCGTCACCACCATGACTATTACACTCCCAGCGTCACCACCATGACTATTACACTCCCAGCATCATCACCATGACTATTACACTCCCAACATCATCACCATGACTATTACACTCCCAACATCATCACCATGACTATTACACTCCCAGCGTCACCACCATGACTATTACACTCCCAGCATCACCACCATGACTATTACACTCCCAACATCATCACCATGACTATTACACTCCCAGCATCACCACCATGACTATTACACTCCCAACATCATCACCATGACTATTACACTCCCAACATCGTCACCATGACTATTACACTCCCAACATCATCACCATGACTATTACACTCCCAACATCATCACCATGACTATTACACTCCCAACATCATCACCATGACTATTACACTCCCAACATCATCACCATGACTATTACACTCCCAACATCATCACCATGACTATTACACTCCCAACATCGTCACCATGACTATTACACTCCCAACATCGTCACCATGACTATTACACTCCCAACATCGTCACCATGACTATTACACTCCCAACATCGTCACCATGACTATTACACTCCCAACATCATCACCATGACTATTACACTCCCAACATCATCACCATGACTATTACACTCCCAACATCGTCACCATGACTATTACACTCCCAACATCGTCACCATGACTATTACACTCCCAACATCGTCACCATGACTATTACACTCCCAACATCACCATGACTATTACACTCCCATTACAAGTTGCCAGCATCTAACTCTTGACAACACCATTGCCAACAGTGCCAACATCTCCAGTGTTGCCATATTCACTACTAAGCTGCCAGCATCTAACTCTTCACTTCACCATTGCCAGCAGTGCCAACATCTTCACTGCTCAGTGACTATCATCTTGACATCTTCTCACAATAAATCTTTTTCTTAACTATTTCTTGGCATTTTTATCTTCAGTATTTCACTCGCAGCTTCGTCATGAGTACTTTAGTCATCGTCACCATGACAAACATGAGGGTTGGGTTACTATAAGACTTTGTAGCACCTCCACTCACTAAAACAAGAATGGTGCCGTCGAAGTGGTTGGGCACCATTCCTTTCCTCTATCATATCCTAGTTACTTATCCCCCTTACCCTTTGCAAGTGCTGTATAGTCGTAATGCCTTAGCGCTTTCCCCTGATAATTACCTAGCCTTACGCTAGAAACACTATCACCTTGACTAAATATTCACCATCTGGGATATTTACCTGAGCCCCACTGAGTCCTTCAGGACTCTTTACTTAGACCTCAGTCAAGGATGGATGAGTCTGGCAGGAACCCAGACTTGCCTGAAGGTTATGGAGAAGGGGTCCCGCCTTGGCTCATAGGTCATGATGGAGGATATGAGGCAGGGTCAGGTGTGAAACGCAGGTATGCAGAGGTTGTTCCCCCGGGGTCACATGACCCACGAATCAAGCGAGCCAGGCAGGGAGTGGTGGGCTCAGTGCCCAGTGCTCTCGCAGAGAAGCTCGCACGCATGAAGACCAAGCTTCAGAAGGTGGAGAAGAACCCACGGAAGAAAGAACACCGGCACAACCACGAAGAACAACGGCAGGCAGAAGTGAAGCAGCTGGGACAAGAAAAAGATAAGCAGCACGGACAAGAAAAAGATAAGCAGCACGGACAAGAAAAAGATAAGCAGCACGGTCAAGAAAAAGATAAGCAGCATGGACAAGAAAAAGATAAGCAGCACGGTCAAGAAAAAGATAAGCAGTATGGACAAGAGAAAGAGAAAAAGCATCAGCTGGATAATAATAAAGAACGAAAACAGGAAAAGGAAATAAAAATGAAAAAAATGAAATTATTGAAAAGACATTTTTATATTAAAAATCATTGATGTTATTACTAGGATTAAATAAAATATTTTATCTGAGTTATTTAACTGTTGTTTCCTTATCCTTTGATTATTGAAGCTGAAAATTAAATGTGTAACAATTTAATAATGTGTCCTAAAATTATTGCTTTGGTCAAGAAATGGTTACGTTGGTGTGTAGTAAAGACGGTTACAGTGATGATGTTTGTACCTAATAACGGTAACAGTAATGAGAACTGTACAGTTAGGATGGTTACTGTGATGCCGATTGTGTGTAGTAAAGATGGTTACAGTGGTGAAGGTTGTGTGTAGTAAAGATGGTTACAGTGGTTACAGTGATGAAGGTTTGTGTGTAGTTACAAAGAGTAAAGATGGTTACAGTGATGAAGGTTGTGTGTAGTAAAGATGGTTACAGTGATGAAGGTTTGTGTAGTAAAGATGGTTAAAGGTTGTGTGTAGTAAAGATGGTTACAGTGATGAAGGTTGTGTGTAGTAAAGATGGTTACAGTGGTGAAGGTTGTGTGTAGTAAAGATGGTTACAGTGATGAAGGTTGTGTGTAGTAAAGATGGTTACAGTGTGAAGGTTGTGTGTAGTAAAGATGGTTACAGTGGTGAAGGTTGTGTGTAGTAAAGATGGTTACAGTGGTGAAGGTTGTGTGTAGTAAAGATGGTTACAGTGGTGAAGGTTGTGTGTAGTAAAGATGGTTACAGTGGTGAAGGTTGTGTGTAGTAAAGATGGTTACAGTGGTGAAGGTTGTGTGTAGTAAAGATGGTTACAGTGATGAAGGTTGTGTGTAGTAAAGATGGTTACAGTGGTGAAGGTTGTGTGTAGTAAAGATGGTTACAGTGGTGAAGGTTGTGTGTAGTAAAGATGGTTACAGTGGTGAAGGTTGTGTGTAGTAAAGATGGTTACAGTGGTGAAGGTTGTGTGTAGTAAAGATGGTTACAGTGGTGAAGGTTGTGTGTAGTAAAGATGGTTACAGTGGTGAAGGTTGTGTGTAGTAAAGATGGTTACAGTGGTGAAGGTTGTGTGTAGTAAAGATGGTTACAGTGGTGAAGGTTGTGTGTAGTAAAGATGGTTACAGTGGTGAAGGTTGTGTGTAGTAAAGATGGTTACAGTGGTGAAGGTTGTGTGTAGTAAAGATGGTTACAGTGGTGAAGGTTGTGTGTAGTAAAGATGGTTACAGTGGTGAAGGTTGTGTGTAGTAAAGATGGTTACAGTGGTGAAGGTTGTGTGTAGTAAAGATGGTTACAGTGGTGAAGGTTGTGTGTAGTAAAGATGGTTACAGTGGTGAAGGTTGTGTGTAGTAAAGATGGTTACAGTGGTGAAGGTTGTGTGTAGTAAAGATGGTTACAGTGGTGAAGGTTGTGTGTAGTAAAGATGGTGTGGTGAAGGTTGTGTGTAGTAAAGATGGTTACAGTGGTGAAGGTTGTGTGTAGTAAAGATGGTTACAGTGGTGAAGGTTGTGTGTAGTAAAGATGGTTACAGTGGTGAAGGTTGTGTGTAGTAAAGATGGTTACAGTGGTGAAGGTTGTGTGTAGTAAAGATGGTTACAGTGGTGAAGGTTGTGTGTAGTAAAGATGGTTACAGTGATGAAGGTTGTGTGTAGTAAAGATGGTTACAGTGGTGAAGGTTGTGTGTAGTAAAGATGGTTACAGTGGTGAAGGTTGTGTGTAGTAAAGATGGTTACAGTGGTGAAGGTTGTGTGTAGTAAAGATGGTTACAGTGGTGAAGGTTGTGTGTAGTAAAGATGGTTACAGTGATGAAGGTTGTGTGTAGTAAAGATGGTTACAGTGGTGAAGGTTGTGTGTAGTAAAGATGGTTACAGTGATGAAGGTTGTGTGTAGTAAAGATGGTTACAGTGATGAAGGTTGTGTGTAGTAAAGATGGTTACAGTGATGAAGGTTGTGTGTAGTAAAGATGGTTACAGTGATGAAGGTTGTGTGTAGTAAAGATGGTTACAGTGATGAAGGTTGTGTGTAGTAAAGATGGTTACAGTGATGAAGGTTGTGTGTAGTAAAGATGGTTACAGTGATGAAGGTTGTGTGTAGTAAAGATGGTTACAGTGATGAAGGTTGTGTGTAGTAAAGATGGTTACAGTGATGAAGGTTGTGTGTAGTAAAGATGGTTACAGTGGTGAAGGTTGTGTGTAGTAAAGATGGTTACAGTGGTGAAGGTTGTGTGTAGTAAAGATGGTTACAGTGGTGAAGGTTGTGTGTAGTAAAGATGGTTACAGTGGTGAAGGTTGTGTGTAGTAAAGATGGTTACAGTGATGAAGGTTGTGTGTAGTAAAGATGGTTACAGTGATGAAGGTTGTGTGTAGTAAAGATGGTTACAGTGATGAAGGTTGTGTGTAGTAAAGATGGTTACAGTGGTGAAGGTTGTGTGTAGTAAAGATGGTTACAGTGGTGAAGGTTGTGTGTAGTAAAGATGGTTACAGTGGTGAAGGTTGTGTGTAGTAAAGATGGTTACAGTGGTGAAGGTTGTGTGTAGTAAAGATGGTTACAGTGGTGAAGGTTGTGTGTAGTAAAGATGGTTACAGTGGTGAAGGTTGTGTGTAGTAAAGATGGTTACAGTGGTGAAGGTTGTGTGTAGTAAAGATGGTTACAGTGGTGAAGGTTGTGTGTAGTAAAGATGGTTACAGTGGTGAAGGTTGTGTGTAGTAAAGATGGTTACAGTGGTGAAGGTTGTGTGTAGTAAAGATGGTTACAGTGGTGAAGGTTGTGTGTAGTAAAGATGGTTACAGTGGTGAAGGTTGTGTGTAGTAAAGATGGTTACAGTGGTGAAGGTTGTGTGTAGTAAAGATGGTTACAGTGGTGAAGGTTGTGTGTAGTAAAGATGGTTACAGTGGTGAAGGTTGTGTGTAGTAAAGATGGTTACAGTGGTGAAGGTTGTGTGTAGTAAAGATGGTTACAGTGGTGAAGGTTGTGTGTAGTAAAGATGGTTACAGTGGTGAAGGTTGTGTGTAGTAAAGATGGTTACAGTGGTGAAGGTTGTGTGTAGTAAAGATGGTTACAGTGGTGAAGGTTGTGTGTAGTAAAGATGGTTACAGTGGTGAAGGTTGTGTGTAGTAAAGATGGTTACAGTGGTGAAGGTTGTGTGTAGTAAAGATGGTTACAGTGGTGAAGGTTGTGTGTAGTAAAGATGGTTACAGTGGTGAAGGTTGTGTGTAGTAAAGATGGTTACAGTGGTGAAGGTTGTGTGTAGTAAAGATGGTTACAGTGGTGAAGGTTGTGTGTAGTAAAGATGGTTACAGTGGTGAAGGTTGTGTGTAGTAAAGATGGTTACAGTGGTGAAGGTTGTGTGTAGTAAAGATGGTTACAGTGGTGAAGGTTGTGTGTAGTAAAGATGGTTACAGTGGTGAAGGTTGTGTGTAGTAAAGATGGTTACAGTGATGAAGGTTGTGTGTAGTAAAGATGGTTACAGTGATGAAGGTTGTGTGTAGTAAAGATGGTTACAGTGGTGAAGGTTGTGTGTAGTAAAGATGGTTACAGTGATGAAGGTTGTGTGTAGTAAAGATGGTTACAGTGATGAAGGTTGTGTGCAGTAAAGATGGTTACAGTGATGAAGGTTGTGTGTAGTAAAGATGGTTACAGTGATGCCGGTTGTGTGTAGTAAAGATGGTTACAGTGGTGAAGGTTGTGTGTAGTAAAGATGGTTACAGTGGTGAAGGTTGTGCATAGTAAAGATGGTTACAGTGGTGAAGGTTGTGTATAGTAAAGATGGTTACAGTGGTGAAGGTTGTGTGTAGTAAAGATGGTTACAGTGGTGAAGGTTGTGTGTAGTAAAGATGGTTACAGTGAGTAAAGATGGTACAGTGGTAAAGCCCCTGTGTAGTAAAGATGGTTACAGTTAGGTTGTCCTAACAAAGATGGTTACAGTGGTGAAGGTTGTGTGCTAGTAAAGATGGTTACATGGTACAGTGGTGAAGGTAACAACCACCTGTGTACCTGTCCTAACAACCACCTGGCTAACAACACCTGGGTGACCTGGGCTAACAACCAGGCTAACAACCACCTTGGCTAACAACCCCTGGCTAACAACCACCTTGCTAACAACCATTATGGGCTAACAACCACCTGGGCTAACAACCACCTGGGCTAACAACCACCTGGGCTAACAACCACCTGGGCTAACAACCACCTGGGCTAACAACCACCTGGGCTAACAACCACCTGGGCTAACAACCACCTGGGCTAACAACCATCCCGGCTAACAACCATCCCGGCTAACAACCATCCCGGCTAACAACCACCTCCCGGGCTAACAACCACCTGGGCTAACAACCACCTGGGCTAACACCACTGGGCTAACAACCACCTGGGCTAACAACCACCTGGGCTAACAACCACCTGGGCTAACAACCACCTGGGCTAACAACCACCTGGGCTAACAACCACCTGGGCTAACAACCACCTGGGCAAACAACCACCTGGGCTAACAACCACCTGGGCTAACAACCACCTGGGCTAACAACCACCTGGGCTAACAACCACCTGGGCTAACAACCACCTGGGCTAACAACCACCTGGGCTAACAACCATCCCGGCTAACAACCATCCCGGCTAACAACCATCCCGGCTAACAACCACCTGGACTAACAACCACCTGGGCTAACAACCACCTGGGCTAACAACCACCTGGGCTAACAACCACCTGGGCTAACAACCACCTGGGCTAACAACCACCTGGGCTAACAAGAAGCGTACAAACACTCCCAACACACTGACCAAACGAGACCGGTACATAGAAAAATTAGATATATGCGAGGGGTTACCTTTTAATCCTTGCTTAAGTTATCAAAGTCTATTTATTATTATTAGTTAAAACAACGGGTTGATTAGCGATGTTTATGAACCTGTGAGTCAGGGGAGGGCGGCCAAGCCTTCATGCCCCATCCACTAGCCTGATTGTACTTGGTGCAATATAATGGGACTTTTCTGAATTTCGACTTGACAAATTTGGCCTTAACGTTGCAGCTGGAGGTGGCTGCCAAGACATGTTTCCTCAGTGTGTTTCACTTGACAATCGGCACAGTATTTCCTTACATTATTTGAAACATTTAT